GGGGACATGGGGTGAGGGGACATGGGGGATACGGGGACACGGGGCGGGGCAAAAGGGGGACCCACGGTGGTGGCCATGGGGGGATAAGAGGTGGGACCCCCCTGGTGACAGGGACAGTGGGGGGACACGGGGGAGAATTGGGGGACCCTCTGTGGGGGGACCTGGGGTGGGGACAGAGAGGGGTACACGGGGGGACCCCAGTGTGGGGAAACTGGGGGGATGTGGGGACAAGGGTGACCCCCCAATTGGGGGACATGGGGACAAGGGTGACCCCCAGAGAGGGGACATGGGGACAAGGGTGACCCCCCAGTTGGGGGACGTGGGGACAAGGGTGACCCCCAGAGAGGGGACGTGGGGACAAGGGTGACCCCCAGAGAGGGGACGTGGGGGGATTTAGGGGGACAGGGGACTGGGGGACACGGGAGACCCCCAGCCAGGGGGTTCAGGGGTTTTGGGGGACACGGGATAGGGAAAAGGGGAGGGATTTGGGGGACACGGGATGGGACAGATGGGATTTGGGGGCACAGGATGGGGAAAATGGGGAGATTTGGGGGACACAGGACAAGGGCCCATGGGTGACCCCCAGTGAGGGGATTTGGGGGGATTTGGGGGGCACAGGACAAGGGCATATGGGTGACCCCCAGTGAGGGGATTTGGGGGGATTTGGGGCACAGGGGGTGGGGAGAGAGGAGACCCCCGGGCTGGGGGGGAGAGGAGGGGGCTGCAAAAGGGGGGTCTGCAAAAGGGGGTGCAAGGAGGAGGTGCGGAGGGACAGTTTGGAAAAGGGGGGCCTGGGGGGTGCCAAGGGGGGCACACGGGGGGTCTCGGGAAGATTTGGGGGTGCACGCAAGGATCCGGGGTTTTGGGGTGCCGGAGGGGGTCTGGGGCAGGAAAAGGGCCCGGAGACAAAAGGCAAGGGGAACACCGAGGGGGGTTTTGGGGTCTTCCCTCCTTTATCCGCGCCCCAAACCGCCCGGCACCCCAAAACCCCAAAGCCCCGCCGCTCTCGGGGCGCTGCCGCTGGATTTTGGGGTGGGGGCGA